ACCATCCGGCACGGGGCGTAGGATATGTGGCGGGGACATGTGGCGGGGTTGGGGTTAACGGGGAGACTGGCTCCTTCGTACCGAATATCACAATCGCCGAGNGGAAAACACACGATGCGAAGAAGAAGCGGTAATTCCTCTGAAATCCGGGAGTGGTAACTCCATGAAACTCGCCTGGCGGACTCAATCGCTAGGGACGTGTCGACACGTCTCAAGACGTCCCAAAGAGCGCAGAGGGACAACTGCTTGATAACTCCCATACGTTTCGCCACAGAGAACAAGCCCTCCACGCGTTGGGTAGCAGCCATGCCTAGGGCGAGAGTCGTCGTCCGGCAGTAGAACGCCCACTTCGACTTGTTCCTAAATGTCATCATCCAGGGTATTGCGAGCCGAAAGTGTTTGCGTCCGATTGACAATGATGTTGACGTCGCAAAGTGAAAATAGAGGTTACTGCTTCCACACCAGGGCGACTTCAAAGTAGGAAGAACGCGGAGAATATGCTTGGGTTAGTCGACACGCACTCACTTGAATAGGTTGTCGACGTATTCCTCGCACTTCGTTCCCGCAGAAATCTGCTCCATCTGACCCCTGCTGGATGCGAAGGCCTGGAAATACGCGCAACGGTGGCGGGTTGCAACAGGCAAGGCCATGTTTGGCCATGTTTGGATCAAATAGCTGCCTAAGCAGTCGGAGAGTTTTGAGCGGAAAAGCGTCCCTGGCGCAGGCGACGAGGCCTCGGACCTCACCTCGGCATTAACTGCATAAGCTGCGCTGCGGAAGGAACGAAGCATCCGCGTTCGGTCGTGGTCGGACAGGGCGCCGGCACACTTCTTGACAAGGTTCTTGTTGACGTGCCACAGGCAGAAGAGGTGTTGCGTACCCTTCCAGACAGAAGCTACGGCCGAGGTCATGGCGACATCGGCGTCCGTGAGGATGACCTTCAACACCATAGATAAGGCAAAATCCATCAATGAATAACGAAAATTCGATGAGACACTCAGATTGGGCTTTGAAAGCGTTTGGAAATGCGGAGTTGCGGAAAAACCCCAGAGAGCAAAAGGGATTGGGCGAGCTCATCGTCGACCGACGCGGAAATATATACGTAGGATGCTGTCTAGAACAGGCGGGTCATGGGTATTTGCGACACCATCTCTCCCTGCCCCGTCCCCTGTCTGGGGGGCATTCTCGGCGTCTCCGATCCTCCACCCATCGTGGGGGTTTCTACCCCTGACCTCTGAAAATGGCAGAGACCACCAATGAACTACCCTTACACACCAGGGTGACGAAAAGTTCACCTTCGGCCGCCGTTCCCATCCACCAGCGGCGCTCTCGTATTGAGTGAGGAACCACTCGAACGTCTCTGCGCATTCCGAGCGTAGGAGACCCTGGCCCAGTATGCAGCTACGGTTCTCGTCATCAACACCCACGAACAGAAGGACCGGGCATCGGTACCTGCGGCCGTGCCTAGTTTTCAGATACCTTTACCGTGGGGACGGCAATCATCTTTGTCGTCTCAGATTCGGCCGAGGGGGCGTGCTCGAGGGGAGTTCCGTGTGTTATGTAAACTTGCGAAAAAAGTTCCGCCACGGTCGGAGCTACATGCGTAGTATCGATCACCTGTTCGCGAAGACGGTGGTGTCCATCTGGATGCACCCCCCAAATCTCGCCGCCCTCTCCTGCTGGTCGGCGGTGGCCCAGAACACGTTAACCAGCCTCCCGGGGTCGTCAAATGTGTTGGCGACGTACATCCCGGGGTCGCTCCGGAGGGTAGCGAGGAAGTTTGCCGCGTCCTCCGGAGAGCAGTACAGTTCTTCTTGCACCTTTGCCATGAAGTTCCACACCTTCAGTTCATGTTTTGGGCGAAGACACGAACAAAACAAGCACGACCCAAGGGAAAACGGAGGGAAAATGACCGGCGCAACAGAAACGGGAACATGAAACGAAGGCCGTATTGCAAATGAGACCGTAACAGGAAAAAAACGGAAAATAGATCGAAGATCGAACCTGAACACGTGAACGGCCGAAATCCTCTTCAGGAACAAGCCCCGAAAAAGGAATGGACGAACCAAAGGTTCTACAGAAACACATGGGACATAGGAAATTCTGAGGCGATAAATACCGAGAACAGTCGGGAGAGTGACAGGCAAGGATTCCGCCGCGGGCACAACTCAGCGTATCGATGGACGACATCGTAGTCTATCGTTTTCTCGGCGTTCGTACTCGGATTTGGCAAGATGTCATCAGACATTTCTAACGGCATACGATTTCTAAATGCTTTGCACTGCTGTGCAATATTCTCGGGGCACTGTCGTGTTACAGGGGATACCCCCCACCGAGGTTCCTAGGAAGTTTCGTGCTTCATGCTTGTGGAATGAATTGGAGCACCCGGTTCCCCTTCGACTACACCTGCCGGCGGCGGCGCGACCCGGACTGGTTTACCTCGCACAGTGGTCCTCGCTGACTGAACGTATGGACGTGTGCTCTATCTACACCGGGGAGCAGATGTAACAGTCGCAACTCACCTTCTTCTTGCCCTGGCGACATAAGAGGCGGTTTTCACCGTCAGCATGTAGCAGCTTGAAGATTTCTTGTGCGCCGAGGTTTGCCGCGGTCCACTTGCGAATGTCGTCCATTCTGTCATCAATGAACGAGAGCGGGAGTACTTTCTCCTGTGCCTTCGACACGGCACCTCGGGGGTCGTGGTTGTGCCTCAAGTCGGCCTTATCAAAAGCACACGCAGGGGGCGGAGCGCGAACGAACATTGCATGTGTGATGGCGGGAATGAGGGCAATATCACGTCCGGTAAGGTCGAGGCCGCGATATTGTCGTCTCTCGGGGGGATACATACATCGTGCGTAGCAGCGTCAACGTCTTTTTCTAACCCCAACATTTTCACCAGAGAACGACACAATGTGACGCGTACACGAAAAACCCACCTGGGTCACCGCGGGTGTTAGGGTTCCCGACCTCCAGTATATGCCCACCTTGAACGGGCACCCCACCTGTACCACCGGCGGAACGGAATCACAGCGCGCTCTAGTTCTTCGGTTCGAGCCAAGATGTGAACGAACTCCGAAGCAAATCAACCCGACGAAACACAGGACCTCGCCCGCCACTGAACGCTGTTTTGCACAAATCTGCCATGTGCATTTTACGCATGTCTCCCATGTGTTGTGCATCCACTCACTCTTTGGGACCTACGCTCCCGATTCTTCTTCCCTGCCGTGGGAACGTACTCCTTGAAGCGCGGCGACCCGTTGTGCTTGCATAATATCTCACAGTAGACGTGTCTCGATTTATCCGTCTTCAGCTGCGAACGCGAACATAGGAGCCGAACCACAAACGGCGAACCACAAAACGGTTACTGGGAAACGCATACAACGCAGAACGTGTCGGGACGTCGTACCCCTGTTGGAGAATCGCGAGTTGGGCGACATACTTTCACCGCAGGACTCACCGCGACACGCCTTTTGGACTTGAGCGTCTTGTGCCCTGCACTCTCCAGGCCCCGGAGGCATATGTCGAACACCTTGTCCCAGGTCTCCCTTGGCGTTGCAGCATCGACGTCGAATTCCCGACCGACTGCGACTACTCCATCAGGATCACCCGGCTCCCACATGTCCTCCTGCTCTCAAATACGGCAGGCGTCGAAATAAGCAGCACGAAAAACGTAACGCCAAGCAGATGAAACGATTTCTGTGAGACTACATTCTTCTCCAATCAGCCAACAACGATAAGTACATAGTCCACACCGCGACGGCCACCGGCGTCGTTACTTGTATACGAGTACCTTCGCCGAAAGGTAAAGAAACGTTGATCGGTGCACTGCAGTTCTGCAAGAAGAGCAGCAGCAGCTGCGTACGGTAGTAGCATCCACACGCTCAGCAGCAGCAGCGTAGCATCTAACATGAAGTTAGGAAATCCAAGAAGAGGAACAGCGAATAAGGCCACAGCAGGTTGGCTCTTTAAACTACGAGCTGCAGCTCCCTCCCTCTCCCTCTCTCTCTCTCTCTCTCTCTCTCTCTCACTCGGCTGAACCTTGCGAATGAATCGGCGTCGGGGTCGTGAAGTTACGTCGAGTCAAACACATGTAACAAGCGCCGGAACGCGGAAAACTTTCTGTAGAACCTTTCTTCCTTTCCGTTCCTTTTTCCTTTATCCATGCGGCGACCATAGCAGGCTGCTGTCATTACTTCTGTCATGTATATGACTCTCTCTGCGCATCTGTTGCACAAAGTCGCGAGCTAATCGGGGTTGCGGACCTTTGGCGACCCGAACACCAACATATATGGTAGGAAAAACCTTAATCGCACAACTCCTATACAGGATCTCAGAACTTGACAGGAGGGCATACTGTACTGTAGATTATCGGGGTTTCCCCTTGTCTCTCTTTTTTCCCCTTGGTTCCGGGCACCACCAGAAAAGAAAACGCCGTTTCTGCTGTTGCCATCCGAGCAAGACACAGACAGGACGGTAGAAGTACCGCTCACCTTCTCCTTGTTTTCGTCGTCCCCCGAGCCTGGGTCCTTATCCGGGTCATCTTCCTTGTCCGGGTCATCTTCCCAACCGGGACCACGCCCACCCCCTCCTTCGCCCGTCCCATCGCCCGCTCCCGACTGCTCCCTGCGGCCCGCCGACCGCCGCTTCCGCTTCCCATCCCCCGCCGACCCATGCTTCCGTTTGTTGTCGCCGCCACCATTCCCACTACCTTCTTTATCGGACCCCTCATCCCGTTCGGAGTTCCGTTCATTATTCGTCGTGCCATCCACTCCCGGACTACCGTGAGGTCCAGAAGCATCCCCACCCTTGCATTGTTTTCCCCCGCTTGACCCACCGCCCGCTTGCTTAGAGTCCTTCTCTCCCCCCCCGGATGGTGCCCTCTGGTGAAGTCTTCTAGCATACCATACGGCGTCCTCAACTTGCTTCGCGGGGAAGGTTTTTTCTGTCGTCTCCCCGTCCATGTGGACGTCGTATGACGCCGTCAAGAACTCGTCATCCAAATTCACCTTAAAAATGGTCCCATACCCCCCTCCGCTTCCCTCCCAACTACCGGTGTGAAAGCGAGTACCGACGCCCACGCCCATGTCCCCCTGAACGGACGGTAGCGAAGGAGGTTCAGGGCAAGTTCAGGGATGAGTATCGTAAGTTGCTTTCATTTTCCCCCGAGGAGAGGATCCAATTTTCTGAAATCACAACCCCCCACCCGGTGGGTAATCAAAGTAGCGGGGGTGTTGGTATTTTTAGTGAAAACCGATCTACCCCGGGGGGAGAATACCCCCCCCCCCGGGGATTGAGCAAAAATTGTGGTCCACATACCATGCAACACATACACCGCGATGAATAAGATTTACGAACAAGCGTTCCGCCAGCAGCGGGAGCAGCAACGGGAATGATTAATGCAAGAACAACCCTATTTTTTTATTTTTTTGTGCTTCGGCATGTACCTGGAAAATTTGCGGGAAGATCATATGACCGTATTCTAGAAACAATGCGCTTCATATTGACAAAAATCGAATTCCAAGCGCGTAATTCCGGGCGGTAGGGGAGGGGGGGTGGTCGCGAGAAAAATAGTACCCCGGGGGGAAACCAAAGACCCCGTTTTGCTTTTCTTTTCTTTTTGTTGGGATAACCGATCTCCCCGGGGGAAATCAAACAGCTCGTGCTTGCAGGCCGAACAGGTGCTTGGGGGGGGGAGGGTCAAAGCAACTTACGATACATTAATACGATACCCGATACGCTATGTCACAAGCATGGTACAAGATGGCTAGCCCTAGGCGGGCGGGTGGGCTCGACGTTACGGATATCATTTCTTTCCGCTAGTACCATTATCGTCAGCCCTTAGACAATGCGTGAGCAAATGACATACTTGTAGAAAATAACCCCATTGCTTGCTCCTCTCCCTTCAGCGTCCACATGCTTTACGCCCACCTTAGCCTCGCGGCGGACGGCCATGTCTCGACGAATTTTCACCCTCCGAAGAAACGCCCGAACCTTCTTCTCGTTCTCGCCAGCTGCGGGGCCATCCCTGTCACCATCTTCCGCCTTACCGCCCCCCATTCCTTGCGGATCCCCGCCCCCCTTTTGACCACCTCCTCCTGACGGTTGTCCCCCGCCATCATCCGGATCGTTATCGTCATCCTCCTCGCCGCCCTTGCCACCACCCATTCCTCCCTCGCGGCCCGACCCCCCAGCGTTGTCATCGTCCTTGTCCCCTCCCTCGCCACCACCGCCGCCCCCCTTGCGGCTCGACCCTCCATAGTTCTTCTCCTCACCCCCTGTCCTTCCACCCCCGTCTTCGCTTTTCCCCATCCTGCGGCGCTCCTCCTCAGCAGCTGCAATCGCTTTACGCTCCGCGAGCCTCCGCGCTTCGTCCTGGCGGCAGGTCGGAGAGCAACGGAACAAAATCAACATCACGAAACGCAACCACAAACGTCCACTGCTCGCGGAATAGTTTTGATATGAGTACGATGACGGATGTGACAAAATAAACAACGGAAAAACAACGGAATAAAAAACGCGTGTGCGGCAAACGGGGGGTGAACGGGATCAATGACAAGGCTACGGACATGAATCGCCGCTACATTACACCTGAATGCGATCACCTTCCTGTTTGCCCACTTCTTCGACACCCGAGCCCCAAAGACCCACCTGCCGCTTGTTGAAGCACTCCTTCTCCAACGCGGTTACCTCCGCCGCGGAAGCCAGCGGGGTCTGCGGACGCCGTAGAAATTTCGCATCGGGTAAACGTCAACGCCATACCGTAGGAAGAAGCATTTCACTCAGGATTTCCAAAACTGTCACAAGGTCCCTACGCCGTCCAGTTCTCGTTAGGTCGGTCTGCCTAATTGCAATCGGCCTCTAACTCCCTGTCGGCTACCGTAACACATCCCAACAATGCCTCGAATTCCAACGGCCGGCACAAAATGGGGCAAAGAACGGATGGAACGTCGGTCTGGAATAACGCACGTGGAGGCACACCTCTGCGCCGCACCGCTACCTACGAATGAAGGTCGACACTCACGAAGTACGTGCCCGTTATACATCTGTAAGCGGCCTGCCTCCGCCTGAGCTGCTCTTGCGCCTGGAGTTCGGACGTTGGCATATTTTTCAACGCCGTGGCAACGGTATAGGCAACGGAGAGAACCGGGAAGCGGTGACGGGGAGAACAACATCGGCACGGGTAGACCGGGACGCGGGCAGGCAACACAATGAAACGCTACGTGCCATTCGCAACGCGGGAAATGAGCAACGTGTACTTGTACGCGATGTCACCTTGCCCTGCGCGTCCGCCAGTTCCGTGCAGGTATGAGGAGCCGACGGTGAACCACCCGAGTCCCCTACAGCTTCCTTGAGCCTCGCCTCCGACTCCTTGCAGTCGTCTTGTGCCAAGCGCACAAGACCGGCCATCCTCGTGACAGCAGCTTCGTGATTTTTCGCGGTGTTGTCGTGAGACAGAGCCACGAAGTGGTTCAACTCCCTGATGCGGCCACCGTTGAGACGTTTGTACTCGTGGGCGTCGCTGAACTGGGGTCTGTAGTCCGCGCTCGAAACATACGTCATAACAACATGAACGGTCTGACGTCCCGGGTCCGGTGCGACCAGCGGTTGGAACAGGGTCCACTGCCACTCTCCACCGTTGACGTTCTGGACGCTGATGACTGCGAGTTATGGCATACAACCGACACGCGAGGAATTCCAACAAGCCGTCAACAAGAAATCACACGTAGCTTCGCGAAATTTTCGCGTGCGCCCTCACGCCGGCAGGTTTGCCGCCATTATCGGGTGACCCCCGTGCAAAGCTAGTGATGAAAACTAGCGACGAACGTGAAACACCAATCGAACACGCGCAGATGGTTTTGCTCATGGAACTGAAACGTGGAACGGGTTTGACGGTATTAAAAATTAACCGAATTCAAAATTAAAACGCCAATGCCGACAGAACGAAATACGCCGTGAGAATTCCTAAAGAATTGAGAGCCTCACATGGCACAAATACGCGGACAGGTCCCCGGATGACGGTGGCCAGCATAGGAAGCACGAACTGCTGGAGGAATACTTTATCCCGAGCGATGTGGTGCAGACATCCTAAGAACACCAGCCGTGCGCAGTCACGCGACGCCATTCGCCAACGGTTCTCCGGCATTGCGTCCACCACCCAGCCACACCTCTTCAGGTCGAACACCACCTGATCCACATAGTTGTACCACGTGCCGTAGAACTCATACTGGCGATCGAGGTACACCTCGATGTTGCGCAAGCCTTCCACGACAATCCCCAGCCGGAGCTGAGCTGCCATCGTCTTCACGGCGTTCCTGACCCCACGTGGTTGCTTCTTCACGAGCAGCATGGCCACGGCGTTCAACAAGCAGTTGCCGTCTCCATCCGTAAGATAGGGAGTGCCTGCCTCACGTCCATCTTCGTGATTGATACCGCGAAGAATGGCGGAGGTGAAGTGGCACGGTTCCGCTCCTTTTTCCAACAGCTCTCGGTCCGTCTGCGTAGTTCCGAACATCCATGGTCAGGTACGACAGAAACATGGGGGAAGCGGTGCGTGATGGATGGACAGGAACCGTACACTCGTACAGCATCGTCAAACTTGTCTTCGTGCGTATCTAGCCCAGGCACTTTTCCCCCATCAGCATCTTCGACGTACGGATGGCGCTAACCCCTAACTGTACTTCACGCGCATATTGATTCCATGTCCTAAGTTTCATCAGCACCATTAGAGGGTAGCCTGCCTGAGTAGCGCACGTACAAACCGAGAAATCAACTAACCCTAACCCTAGAGCTGCTACTCGGGGGCATCTTCAAAGTTGTTGTTCAAATCATCGCCGTGGAAATGAGGTAACAAATAGTCTGGTACTGTTGCATTGCGCAGCATATATACGCAGGCGGACATGTAGGCTAACACGAACGCGAAGCATGAACGACATGAACGGCGCCGCTAAATTTGCGCGAAATTTGAACGGAATTTGAATCGAATTTGAATCGATTTCCGAACCATTTTGGAATTCGCGGTGCACTAGGGCCAGCCTCCGGACTCAAGCCTATTAAGTTGTGCGGTCCCTATACCATGTACCCCCGTTGTATGCACACACCTGGGACGGTGAAGGTAGAGGGAAATGGTCGAAGGGGCCACCTTTCTGTAGGGCGCGACGTTTGGCCTCCGCCACAGCTGGATGGTCAACTGCGATGCCATGGGCGTCCCCGCGAGGTTTCCGCACGACAGCACCCAACAGCGACCTCAAGTCACCGAGCGCGGCCTGCTGAGGGTTCCCCGGCTTCTCCAGGCTAGACCGAGAATTCATTCCGATCGATGTACACCTTCGTCGGCGTAGCGCGGTCTGGGACCGAGGCCGACGAGGCACGGAATTGTTTCACGGCGGACCACACCCGCGCCTCCTGCCTGCGGACCCCCTGCTCTGGCGCCATTTCCTCGTGGGGGTTGCTTCAGGCTACGTCATTCAATTGACGCCATTGCCTCTATCCTAGTTGAGGGGTGCGTGACTCCAGTACAAGATAACAGTGCTGGTTGTTCAGCGCCTTCTTCGTGGGTCGTGTGAGCGATGATCGCCAGGGATTTTCCGAGCATTTTGGACACCACATTTTCGGTACCATTGTTGAGCGCCGCGATAGGGTCGGCATCCACATCCCGGTTGAGGTGATGTGATGGCTTGAATGAAAGCTGGGAGCCGTGGCGTGACTGTGGTAGTTGTTGCGGCTGCCGACAAGACGTTTGGGAGACGATGTGGGGTGTTGTCCCAAATTTGGAATTTGGGACAACCCCTGTTGGGGTCGCCGTGCCCCCTTGCGAGGGTGTATCTCGGCAACCACGTGCCGGTCGAGGCGATGTGATGGCTTGAATGAAAGCTGGGAGCCGTGGCATGACTGCGGTAGTTGTTGCGGCTGCCGGCGAGACGCTTGGGAGACGATGTGGGGTGTTGTCCCAAATTTGGAATTTGGGACAACCCCTGTTGGGGTCGCCGTGCCCCCTTGCGAGGGTGTATCTCGGCAACCACGTGCCGGTCGAGGCGATGTGATGGCTTGAATGAAAGCTGGGAGCCGTGGCATGACTGCGGTAGTTGTTGCGGCTGCCGGCGAGACGCTTGGGAGACGATGTGGGGTGTTGTCCCAAATTTGGAATTTGGGACAACCCCTGTTGGGGTCGCCGTGCCCCCTTGCGAGGGTGTATCTCGGCAACCACATGTCGGTCGAGGCTATGTAAGGGCTTGAATGAAAGCTGGGAGCCGGTCAACTTCATCTCAGGCCCTTTCCCATCTTGGCGGGGCGTGGGCATCGATGTAATGACGCGGATATGTACAGGACACCTCCCAATAATCCTGCGGTGCCCCTTGGGAGGGCATATCGCCGCATATACAGGTCGGGTAAGGCCACCCGATGGCTTGGATGATAGCTGTGGATCATACAAGCACAACAAAGGTCTTTGGGGGTGTTTCGGAGGTGGTTGGGCCGAGTTATGGAGGAAAACGTGGATTTACCGAAGCCACGGAGCCCCTTTTTTAGGCTCTATCTCCTCGGCCCCGGCTCTGTTGTGGACTCAAAATACATTCCGTGAAAGCTGTGTCCAGTAGAATTACAACAAACTTGGTTTGAGGTCGATCCGAGCTTTCTACGCCGAGTTAGACGTGTTGTCCTAAATAAAAATTTGGGACAACGTTGTCCCAAATAGCCGTGCCGTTTTTGTTTTGCATCCCCGCGGCGTCGTTTATGCCGGGTTTTGAGACCACGGGCTCCCCATTTTTTGTGGACTCCAGAGCCATTTTTTTTGCTAATGTGAGAAACAACAACAACAACAACAACAACAACAACAACAAAACCCTGCGCCTTGTCGGACGCACCGGAGTGAAATGGGGCACCGACCAATAAAATGAGTGGCTTTACTTCTGCTGTTAATGACTTTATACCCAGGTGTGTCGCTTTTCGACCAGGGTATAGTCTACCCTGTTGTTTCGTTTTCCCTTTATACATTAAAACTCAGCTGACCAAAAGTTTGCCATTGAACGATTGGTAATGGAAGACATTCCTCGTATTTTCTGCTTTTTGCGTGGGTGGGGCGGTAGAGTAAAGTGTGCTCTATCGGCCGCGTGGGTGGTGTTGCCACCATTGTTCCCGCCCCCATCACTATTAGTCTAGTCTATCTAGTCTATGGATTCATGGAATTTGCGAATAAGACGTCATTCATATGCTTCAACATATAGCATGGCGGCACACCGTTAAACTCTGTAGGTACAGGTTGTTGGTTCGGTCCCCCCGCACGCTGTGTGTTCTTCCTGCCCTAATCATTTCGAAATAGAGGAAAGTTGTCTGCCGATGTATCGCTTGATTAAACCGCTTTCATAACCCGGCACGTTATGCCCGCCCGGCCTGTAACCCCCCCACGTTATCCCATATAATAACCCCTCGTTGGCCGGAGGTTACACAACGCTCCTCCCGTACAACCGTGCCCACTGGCCACCTGTGCAAGCACACACGAGCACCAGATCGTTTGCACACACTGATTAGAAAAGGGCATGCCTCGACATAGAGTAGATGTCCCTATTGAAGCCCCAGAGCCAGTTAAGCCCCACATTTTTCGTAACCGTCATAACTTTCCGCCACATACATGGAACTCCATTTGTTTTTTTATATTTTTCTTAATATGACACAACGAGTCCATCTCTATCATAGAAAAGAGTCAGAAATAGATTAACAATGGAATCATAGCGTCAGAGAAAACTACCTGTGTGTCTACGATTTCCCAGACAGCATATAGGGACATCTCCCCTGTGGGTAACAGGCTCAACAAATCAGTTTGGTAGCTGTCTTGTGTGTCTCATATATGTTATGTTGGGAAGGTGCAGACGAAAGGTGTTGGGTACTGTTGGGTAGTCGGGCGTTTTGTGTGTCGCACCCTATTAGTTCTAACACATGCAATCTCCATCAGTTTACAAACATATTCTCAGTTTGGTATGCATATGTGCGGAGTATGTGCGGCTGATGTGCCATCTCTATCATAGAAAAGAGTCAGAGACAGATTAACAATGGAATCATAGGGTCAGAGAAAACTACCTGT